AAAAACTATACTTGTTAAATTTAACAAGACATTTTATGAAATTTATAAACAAATTTAAATTTTATTTTGCTTAATTAGATGCAGTTTGACTCAATCCATTAAAAAAAAAAAGCTGCAGTTTTTTTTTTTTTTTTTTTTCAGTTTACATTATTTATATTTTGTCGTGATTTACGTGTAATATAAATATATAAACTTGGGATCTGTAATATAAATATATAAACTTGTAATATAAATATATAAACTTGGGATATAAACTTGTTGATGTATAATCAATATTAGCTTTCCATGTCATATTTTCGTCAAGATAAATACCTAGGAATTTTAAAACGGAATTTTTTTTATTTCTTCTTTATCAATATAAAGTTTACGTAAATTATAAGACAAAAAACGCTTTTTTGTTGAGGAGTGGAAAAGGATCTACTTTGTTTTGTTAATATTTAAGGTTAATTTATTGCATTTAAACCAATTAGAAACTTGATTAAGTTCTTTATTTATATCTTAAAAAAATTTTTTTATTGTCTTTTTTTGACAAAAATAAATTGATACTGTTGGAAAACATGATGCTCATAAGATTCGAAGTCTTATTTAGATCGTTGACGAATACTAAAAAGAGAAGACGTAGAAGACGTAGTGAAGGAATGCAAAAGGTAGGAGCCAAGGTCGCGCAAAGCGGAAAAGATTAGAGTTGAGCGACTAAGTTGCAAATAATGTAGAAGACGAATAAAAAAAATTTGTTACAATTGCAATATTGCAAAAAATCATTATTGTGGCTATATGAATAATTTCATTTTTCAATGTATCCCAGATAACATATACACGGACCAACGTGTATATGCTATCTGGAATACACAGCTCCATTTAATAGTGTGTTTAGCAATCATCTTAAAAATTAAAAAATATCAAAAAACCGTTTAAAAGCAAACCAAAATGACATTCTAGAATATATGTATAAAGTATACATATAAAAAATAAAACGTGAGATTGATAATGCAAGATTTGTTTCCTTGCATGCAGATAAAACAATTGATGTATTTTGTCTTTCCCATTCGTAATTATTTTAAAAAAGAGTTTGGCGTGTTCTTAACATCCTCGCCAAAACAAAAAAAATTTACTTAGAAAAATTAGTTTTAAACAGATACCAAATGTTTGCGAAACACGATGGAATTTTCGTTTACAGTCACTTGCATTAAAAGAAACAAGCAAATTTTGTAGAATTTTTTAATAAAGTTATAAACAATGAAATATAGGACAATACAAGCGTGAGGCAATCTGTTGGCTTCAGAAAATGTTTGGAAGATATAGAGTTAAATTTTTTTATCCTTTTTTGTTCAATTTTAAATTGTAATTTGGCCACGGAGGCCGTCGGCTGGTCCTTGCACATTTAGTGCTGGAGCTAGCAAGTTTAATTTACAAAGCTCATCTTCGTTAATGGTGTAGTATAGTTTGAAAAATTGTATAAAATCATCTCTATCCTAGGCCTTCTATCCTTAAGCAATTCAATGTTTATTTTAGCTAGTTTTTGGTGATAACTTAAAAGCTTTAGATGAGGTACAAATTTGGCATATTGTCGATGAAAACAACAAAGAGAAGGGGTCCTATTAAAGAACATTACAGAACTCTACTGAGGACATCCAACCAATCAGAAGTGTACTTACCTGGTACAAATGTTTGACTGCGGTCATTTAGGAATGATGCTTTCCAGCTATATGTACTTGTGTTAAAGCCATACGTGCGTACTTTGACAAGTAGAAGCGAGTTGCTAACCTAATAAAAGGCTTTTACAAAATTAAGAAGGATCATTACAATTTCGTAATGAGATTCAAGCTTATTAGATATAATGTCAAAAGTCTCAAATAGGATTGTCATGCACATTCTACGAAGAACAAAACTGTGTTGATAAATGTCAAACAGATTATGGTGAGTCATATGCTTGTGCATGGAGTCAAGAACTAAGCGTTCCATTACCTTGCATGGAACAGAGGTGATAAATTGGGCTATAGTTAGCTGGCTTTGTGTGACATTGGCTTGCCTCCAGCAAGCAATGAACATCTCCAATAAAGAAAGACTTTGTGAAGATTAAAGTGAAAAGTAGAGCTAACGCTTATCGAGCTTCTAAAAGGATTAAAGGATAAAATCAATCAATACCTGGTGGTTTCTGTTTGTCCAGTTTGGAGAAATGCAACTTGACTGCGGCTTGGGAGAGGTTTTCTACATTTATAGTGTGAATTGTATTGGTGCGTGATTGGAGAACCTGAGTATACCTACAATATTTAACACTATTATTTTTATTATTTTTTTTGTTAACCTAGTCTATCCTGCTGATCAAGGGTGTAGAGTCTTAAAAAAAAAGTAACAACTTCAACTCCAACTCCAGTTGTTAAGAGTTTTTGAGTACAACTACGACTCCGACTCCAACTCTATTTCCGAATCCAACTCCAAAGTTAAGTTTATGAAAAATTCTTTGAATACTTTAACAAATATTAGACAATAAGTAAAAAAAAAATTTTTTGGGAAAATTATGAAACGCTCTTTGAGAGTTAATATGAATATAAGGTTAAATAAATGTTTTGCAGATGCATGTGCAATATCGAGAAGTTTTGCTATTGGAGTCGGAGTCGCGATTTTGTTTAGCGACTACAATTCCGACTCAGCTAAAAATATCGCAATTCCGACTCCACAACCCAGTTGCTAATCAAAGAATTATGTTTATAGTTCATTACTTTTATTTTGACTAAAATGATTAGTTAGATTGCGCTCCTCGTATTCGTTAAATCTTACAAAAAGAAAATATTATAACACGTGTAGAAATTATAAATTGCTTACAAAGTTCATTGATGTGAAAATTTTAAAGTATATAAATCTTATTAATAATTTCTTTTAAATAACATTTTGTTTTTTTATTTTAACAGTTTTTTGTTCATAAAACTATTCATTTTATATTAGGCGCATTTTTTAAATTTTTTAACGTTAGTTAACATCATTCACATCATTATCAAAAACATAAAAATAAGTCCAAAGACAAACACATCTAATGGTTTTATTGCGTCTATGCAGTACGATAGAATAAAAATAATATGGATATGGTTGTCCACGGCCACTTTATGGTAAATGAATGCCATGGCCATTATAAAATGAGAGTATTGGTTTTTGATTTCGGTCAACAAATGGTATAAAGCGTTCCGCAAACCAAAACCAATAATGTATTTACTTCGATTGAATCATTTATATTGACTTAATGAACGGCTAAGACTGTTCATTGTAAAAACATAAATAAAAAATGGAAAAAATAAAAGTTAAATAAAGAAAAAAATTAGGTAATTAATAGAAACACAAGTAAAATATCAGTTTTTAAACAGATTGTCATACATGCATCTACTTGCTGCTCCCCCAATAGCACATACTAGTGGTTCATATTTTATCCATTTAAATTACAGATAATCTTCTCCCTTAAAAATAACAAATGGAGGTAGATATTTTTCATCTGCAACCCACCAAACAGCACAGAGTACATAGTTTTACAAGTAAAAGCAACCACTTTATTAACATTTTTGCTTTTTGGATGTATATATGCTTTCTTTGTTGAGTGATTTGTGGAAAGGCCAGTCTCATCAAATTTATTTATAACTTATACAACCTTATACTTAACTGCAGTTTATCAACATAACGCATGTTAAAAGAATTTATCCAATCTTTCCAATGAATTTCATTTTTATTAGGAGTTTTTATCGTTACCCAAGTGCAAAATTGGTCTCCTAGATTACAAAAGGCAAGAGTATTTAATGGAAGACCATATTTTGACAATAATGAGTCGCAGCTACAACATAGTTTCATTATTATCAGTCAGCACTTTTTCTCGGTCTTAGCGTTTGTTTGCATCAAATTCTTTTTTTTCTATTTTTTGTCTTCATTTAGAAAACAGAACATTCTTAGCAGCATGATAAATAGACTTATTTCTCTTGCATAGCAACAAATGCCATATACAAAATTCTATTTTGGCTAGATGAAGATATTGTTTCACAAAAATAAATACGTGTGTTTCTTGGTTATTCATAGGACACAAACTTAAAAAATTATTGTTTAATAGTTCTTAAACTTATAAAAACATATAAGTAGTTACGCGTGATGAAAGTAATAGTTTCATAATATCATTTGTAACAACTTCAATTATATAAATACATATCCTTTAATTTTACATAAACAGACTAGCATTACTATACCTGATTTTATTTTAAATTTAAAATAAACCACGTGCATTAGTGTCTTAAAGCTATACTACCCAAAAAATATATTAATTAAGCTTTTAAAATAACCATTTTTCTTATGCTTATGCCTAATTTGAATATATTATCTCTAAAGTTTAAAAAGGAAGAAAAAAACAACTGTTGATGGATGTTGCATTTTAGACCCAAATTATCTTGTAAACTCACTTTACTCCACCCTCCCCTACTAATAACGATTTAATTAAAGATTAAAAAAAAATATTTAGAAAATTTCCCTTAGATTAGCATAAAGCTGTAAATAATTAGGTATTACTACACAAAGTTTTTGTAGTTTTAGGAGAAAAAATAAAGATAGATTTATAAAACTCTAAGAGATTACCTATTAAATGACGAAAAAGCTTTAAAAGACATGCTAAAAGTTGGAGAATTGCAAGACTTTTAACCCAAGCAAGCATGAACTAGGTTGTAAAATAATCAAGATGAAATTCCTTCTAACATTTTGTAATTACTTTTGGACTTTATAAAAGTTTTTATTTACTTATTTAAAAAAAAGAGTCTACTAGAAGGTATTCAAATAATATATTAGTAATGTACTTATTGTAATCACTTATAGTTTATTTCATTTTTATAACTTTATTGTATATTATTTTGTTGTATATAATATTTTTTATTACAATATATTTGTCTTTTACTCTATTATGCGTTTTAGACAGACTAAAATATTATTCAACAAAAAAAAATTTTTATAAAACAAAGAAAACAAAAAACTTATGAACTTACAGTAAAATAATGCGTATACTGGATAGAATAGTAACAATTAAACTGTTCCATTACTTTTAATACTTCTAAATATTTAAAGGTTTTACATAATAAATATACATTTATAATTTAATTAAGTTGTCTTGAAAAAAAAAATTGATTTTTATATTGCATTTTCCTCTGGTTATTAGCTTTTTATTTTATAGTTTTATATAAAACATAACTCATTAATACTCTGTTTTTATTTACACTAATTACAGTACATTCAATTAAATAGGTGCAGTAAAAATTATCATCTCATTCTTTTTTTTTCAATTGTAAAAAAAGTAAGCGGATTTACACAATTTTTTTTTTTTTTTTTTATTGAGAAAACTTGTTCTCCGCAGTTTACACGTAAATAACAAACTTACTTTACAATTACTAATTTAGTTTTATTGAAGATAACAAAAAATATTTTTTTCATTTTTATACCATTATACATATTAAAAAAACAATTTAAAAATAGCAGAACAATTGATTTTACTTTAACGATTGTCTTTGTATATATATATATATATATATATATATATATATATATATATATATATATATATATATATATATATATATATATATATATATATATATATATATATATATATATATATATATATATATATATATATATATATATATATATATATATATATATATATGTATATATACATTTTCACTAAAGTTTTTGCGTACCATTATTTATTCAATTCTACAAACAAACATTTATTAGCTAAAAATATTTTGTTATGGATTCAAACTTACTTGAGTCTAAATTGATATTCCGATTTATAACCTCAATGTAACTGTCGCGATCACAGCGTTGTTGCTCGTGCATAAAACCCATTGCATGAAGCATTTCATGTAAAATTATTCCTTGAAAATAAAATTAAAAAACAATATTTTTAAAATAAGTGTTTCTAGATGTTAAAAACTTTAACTACAATATGATTTAAATAAATTTAAACCATATAAAATTAAATATAGTTTTGGACTTTAAAAATGAAATTAAAAAAAAACTTATGAATAAAAATAAATATAAAATTGTAATGGTAATTATTAAACTAATAGTTATTCCTACAACTAATAAATATTGGCTATAATAATAAATAACATTACTTATAGTTGCTGTTGTTACAAGTATTATGATTAAAAATATTGTATACGAATGATACCATATACAACAAAAATTCATATGCTAAACATAACGGTATGATATTTTTATTTCAGGCAATGAATTCATCAAAAAAAAATTGCATAACAATGAACTTTATTATCAAACCGATTTTAAGTATTTTGTTTAAAATTCAATATTTTTATAAATAATTTTTAAATAGTTAAAATAATTAAACATATCCACTGTAATGTAAATTAGTTTATAAGATTTTCAGAAATCTAATATTTAAAATATATAGTAGTTTTATTTAATCTAATATTAAAAAATTTCTTATATATTTTATATAATATTAATCCGACAGACTTTCAACATAGTATTTCAGGACAACAGATTTTTCGAGCTTCAGGAGAGTTTTATGACATTAAAATTAAATAAGGTAGTTTTTGTCAAACTAGATTTTGAAACAGCATAATCAAAACAAGAAACAAAATATATATATATATATATATATATATATATATATATATATATATATATATATATATATATATATATATATATATATATATATATATATATATATATATATATATATTTTGTTTCTTGTTTTGAAAATCAAAACAAGAAACAATATATATATATATATATATATATATATATATATATATATATATATATATATATATATATATATATATATATATATATATATATATATATATATATGTATATATATATATATATATATATATATATATATATATATTTATATATATATACATATATACATATATATATATATATATATATATATATATTATATATATATATATATATATATATATATATATATATATATATATATATATATATAAATATATATATATATATATATATATATATATATATATATATATATATATATATATATATAAATATATATATATATATATATATTTATATATATATATATAAATTTAAATTTATATTAAAATTTAAATATATATTAATATATATATTAAAATTTTCCAAAGATCTACTCCTACATACAATGACGCACTGTTAAGGTCCGGTTTTAATCATAAACTTTCATACTACCCTAATTTAAATTCACCTTATACAAAAAACCGTATACGCAACATCATTTGGTTTAACCCACCTTTCAGCAAAAATTTAAGCACTAACATAGGAAAAAGCTTCTTAACCTTAGTCAACAAACACTTCCCAATAAATCACAAGTTCCACAAAATCTTCAACAGAAACACCATAAAAGTAAGCTATAGCTGTATGCCGAACATGAAATCTATCCTAAATGCACACAAACGACAATTTATGAACAACAAAAAAGATCCACCAAAAATCCAATTGTAACTGCCTTAATAAAAGCACCTGCTCTCTATTAAACCAATGCTTAACAAAAAACATCGTATACCAAGCTAAAATAAGTTCAACTAATCCTACTACCACTCCTGTCAACAAACTATACATCGGTATAAGCAAAACTCCATTCAAAATTAGATATGCCAACCATATAAAATCATTTAACATTCTAAAATACAAAATTGACACTGAACTATCAAAAGAAT